TATATATATATATATATATATATATATATATATCACAATAAGACTTATGACAATGAAGATGTAGTGCTAAGATTCTTCCTAAAAATAATATTTAAAATCAAAATAATATCAAAATTTTATTATTGAGGAATCACAAGTTTAAATTTTATTATTCATAATTTTTAGATGGTAAAGAGTATGTACAAGTTTTAAAATTTAAAGAGCTATCACATAAGAGAATATACTAGAGAATAATACAAAATTGTTTTCTAAACAACATATTAAGTTGAAATGATTGTTTAATAGATTCTATATTTATCATTTTTTTTATACATCAATGTTATGTCTAATATTTGCATCATTAAAATCTAAATAAAATGATTATATTATACTTAGGTGATTGAGATTCAACTAAAATATTTTACAACATTAATTTCTATTACAATTAAAATAAAGTTTGAACTAGAAAGAAATAAAATAAGAATAAATTATATTTTTTTTTAACAAACACACCATTTTTTGTACTAAAAAGACTCTTTAAATGCAAGTAAATCTTAAGATCACACATTCATTGTTGCACAATCTTCCACTCAATCAATTTCTTGAGACTAATTAATTAATTAATTTGATTATAACATTGCTTTAATATTATCCCCATCATTTTCAAATCCAATTCATTCCTTACCCTAGAAGAAAACATTAATTATACTCTCCAAAAACACAACCTTTCCAATTATTCCTTCCATTTTTTCTTGTCACGCAAGATTGCATTTATCCATTCCTATTTTCATCAAAAACACTCACACCCAAAAAAAAAAAAAAACCAAACAAACTATGGATGGACCATGGAATCCATAGAGGGGGCAGTTTAGTAACTGAAGTTGCTGAGAAAACCCTAAAGAGGTTCCAATTCCGCGGAGTGGACACAAAAGACAGAGAGCAGCCTGTAGACATAACGCCACGTGGATAATCAAAGAGATAATATACCCAAAAAATCCCGGTGACGTGTACCCTTAACCGTAGCCTCCCTATAAATAACAGACACTTGCTCAGTCATCCCCTCCCTTTGTTCTCATCCATTTCCTTCATTGTCTCTCTTTCAGATTGAGACGTGCGTTGCTCTTGCTGCCCGACCTTTAAATATCGGGAGCCTCCAGGATCCACTAATTTCGGAGCTCCGTTTCGTTTCGTCTGGGGTTTATTTTTCAATTCAATTATATTCCTGCTCTCTTTTTTTTTGGATTCTTCGAATCGGAGGTTGTCCGGTTCGGAGATCCGATTGCTTCTCCTCTCTGTCTTGGCTCGAGATCCGGGCCAAGCACAGAAGTATCGGGCTCGGGTTCTTAGATTTTATGTTCTCTCTCTTCAAGTGTACAAAGGTTCAATCTCTCTCTCTCTCTCTGATTTTATCAGTTCTTGTTTTCTTTGAGCGGTATTTGGTTACTGAGAAAAGGAGGGAAGTGTAAGAAACTGAGCATTTTGAATCTTTAGTTTTCATCATTTTTTTATATTAATGAAATATAAAAAAACTGATTTTTTTTTATTCACTGATTTTTTAAAATCATTTAGAAGAAGATAAGATTGTTTACCAGATTTACTTACTATTTATTTATTTATTTTTGTTGATTTGTAGTTTAGATTTGGGGATTGTATAGAATTGAACAAGTGTAAATGGCGACGGGTGAGGGATTTCTGACGGGTGAGCAGAGGAAGATGCTGAAAATAGCCAGCCAAAATGCAGAGAATTTGTCATCGTCTCCCAAGGGTTTGTCTTCGTCGCCTAAATCCCCATCACAATTGTTTTCTGAGCATCACTTAAAAGTTCCTGCTGCCGGGAAAGCAACTAATGCTGGGATTGCTGTGAGGCATGTCAGGAGATCGCACTCGGGGAAGCTTGTGCGTGTTAAGAAAGGTGGGTTGGAAATGGAATGCTTGTTTTTTGTGTGATTGTTATTTTTGTATTATGACTTGTGAGTAAGCTTCGAATATTATTAATGGCGGTGTAGTTTCCTTTGTTTTGAGTTTAATCTAAAATTGGATGTAGCATTAAATGATACTTGTATATGGTCATTTCTGATGAATCCAGTGTGGTCATATTATGGTATTTTGGGATGAAATTTTTATAGATTATTTTAAATGTATTTGAGGGATTGGAAGGGGATATGTTGGATGGAGGTTAGAAGATGGCTTAATTAGCTTTCTAGATTCTAGAAAAAGTATGTTTGGATAGATCAAAAGAGCAAATAGTCATGAAATGGAATGACTGGGAGATAATATGATATCTGATTGAATACCTACAAACAGTGAGCTTCTTGTTTGAGAATGCGTGGAACGACTCACTGCAGATTACTTTAGTGAATTCAATAATCATTATCACATAGTTTGAGCTTGTTGGGTCTGTGACACTTTACTGAATTGAGAGTATTCATTAGAATGTTGATGATGAGAATGTTTCCTTTGGATTTTCCCTTTATAATTTAGCTTTTTTATACGTGTCTTGGAAGCATTTTATCTACATTTAGAAGATAAATTATCCTTATATCTGTGATAATTTTATTTTTGCTTCTATTTTCTGTACTTTTTTTGGATATTATGGATGATAATAACCATAATGTCCCACTGATGAGATGTCATGTTTTCTTCTCAGTGCAGGGATAGTTATAAGATCTGAGTTAGTAAGTGCTGATACATTAATTAATTTGCCTTCATTGCCTACACTGATCAGCATAGTACGTGAAATATTTATTCTGAATGATCTTGTGTAACCTTCACAGAGCGAGTGACCTGGATATAACTTTCACAAGGCTAGTTAAGGGCCATAATAGTTGTTTCATTGGTAACATTTCATTTGATGGTCAGAGGCAACTTGAGAGCTAAGCAGTGGTAATTCTAAAGGGCGCATTAATTCTAGAGTAGTGGAATGTTTGTTTATACGTTGATAATGCTGATTAAAGAAAATGAAGAAAACTAAATACTACATATTTGATGATATTCAAGTATCTTCACTCTGAATAACTGGGTTTTTGGGGTTGGGGGGAGTCTGGTCTGTAGAGGGAAAATGGCTCCTTTGGGATTCAGAACCCAGAAAAACTGCTCTATGCATTTTTGTGTTGCAATTTGGTGCCACTGTAGTGTAAAACTCTCTTGAACAGCAAGCCCTCACTGTTTGGATGATGCATAGTAATCTTTAGTTTACATTGAATAACCAACTTATAATGAAGAGAGAACCAATTAGTGCATTTTAGATTTGTTTGTTTGCACAATCCTGAAAGTATGGCCGATAATAGATTAAAAAAAAATGTATTATTTTGAGTTGCACACATTGTTTTATAGAAGAGTATCAGGACATCTTCATGCTGATTAGTGTTTGTCTTTTTTTTTTTTTATGGTTTAAGATGGTGGTGGTGGTAAGGGAACATGGGGAAAACTGCTGGACACTGATGGTGAATCCCGTATTGATCGGAGTGATCCTAATTATGACAGTGGAGAGGTAAGTCTCTACCTGCAATGTGATTCATTCATCCCCAGTCATTTTGAATCATTTTGGGTTTGTCGAGGCTTTTGGGTAAATGTATATGCCTGCAGCATAGTTTTTTAGGGCTACTATTTTTTTTTTTCTTGTTTGCTTCACCTCTGAACAATTTGGGTCAATTCTCCTGTCATGACTTATAGATTGCTCTCTTCTGTCCTACCATTGTACAGGAGCCATATCAGCTTGTTGGGGCAACCATCTCAGATCCCTTAGATGACTACAAGAAGGCTGTTGTTTCAATAATAGAGGAGTACTTTAGCACTGGTGATGTGGAAGTGGCTGCATCTGACCTCAGAGAACTTGGGTCTAGCGAATATCATCTGTACTTTATCAAGCGACTTGTTTCCATGGCCATGGACAGGCATGATAAGGAGAAGGAAATGGCTTCAGTTTTGCTTTCTGCGCTGTATGCTGATGTCATCAGCCCATCCCAGATCAGAGATGGGTTTGTCATACTTCTAGAGTCTGCTGATGATCTTGCAGTGGATATACTGGATGCAGTTGACATCCTTGCTTTATTCATAGCTCGTGCCGTGGTTGATGATATCCTTCCTCCTGCTTTCCTCACCAGAGCAAAGAAGACCTTACCTGAATCCTCGAAAGGATTTCAAGTTCTCCAAACTGCTGAAAAGAGCTATCTTTCAGCTCCACACCATGCAGAGCTTGTGGAGAGGAGGTGGGGTGGAAGCACCCACATAACTGTCGAGGAAGTGAAGAAAAAAATTGCAGATCTGTTGAGGGAATATGTGGAGAGTGGAGATGCTGTTGAAGCCTGCAGGTGCATAAGGGAGTTAGGAGTTTCATTCTTTCATCATGAGGTTGTTAAGAGGGCTTTGGTTCTTGCCATGGAGATCCGAACTGCAGAACCACTTATATTGAAGCTGTTGAAGGAAGCTTCTGAAGAAGGCCTGATAAGTTCCAGTCAAATGGCAAAGGGTTTTGCTCGATTGGCAGAGAGCCTTGATGACCTTGCTCTTGACATTCCATCTGCCAAATCCTTGTTTCAATCCCTCATCCCCAAAGCTATTGCTGAAGGATGGCTTGATGCTTCATTCATGAAATCTTCATGTGAAGATGGACAAGTACAAGCTGAGGATGAGAAGGTTAAGCGGTTTAAGGAGGAGGTTGTGACAATAATTCATGAGTATTTTCTCTCAGATGACATCCCTGAATTGATTCGAAGTCTTGAAGATCTTGGAATGCCTGAGTGTAACCCAATCTTCCTGAAAAAGCTCATCACCCTTGCCATGGACAGGAAGAACAGGGAGAAGGAAATGGCGTCTGTGCTACTGTCAGCTCTTCACATTGAGATATTTTCAACCGATGACATAGTTAACGGTTTCGTCATGCTTCTGGAATCTGCAGAAGATACAGCGCTGGACATCTTGGATGCTTCAAATGAACTTGCACTCTTTCTAGCTAGGGCTGTAATTGATGATGTCTTGGCTCCTTTGAATCTAGAGGAGATAGGCAGCAAGTTGCCACCAAACTGCAGTGGAAGTGAGACGGTGCGCATGGCTCGATCACTTATTGCTGCCCGCCATGCCGGCGAGAGGCTCTTGAGGTGTTGGGGTGGTGGAACTGGCTGGGCTGTGGAAGATGCAAAGGACAAGATCTTAAAGCTACTGGAGGAGTATGAAAGTGGGGGTGTTGTTGGCGAAGCTTGCCAGTGTATTCGTGATCTTGGAATGCCTTTCTTTAACCATGAGGTGGTGAAGAAGGCATTGGTCATGGCAATGGAGAAGAAGAATGACAGGATGCTGGATCTGCTCCAAGTGTGTTTCAATGAAGGCCTGATCACTATCAATCAGATGACCAAAGGCTTCAACCGTATCAAGGATGGAATGGATGATCTGGCTCTTGACATTCCAAATGCAGAGGAGAAATTTAGCCTCTATGTAGATTATGCCCAGAAAAAGGGTTGGCTGCTTGCACCTTTGGGGTCATCTGTTGCGGACGGCTCCTCCTCAATCGCCATGACAGGTACTTGAGAAGAAAGCATATTTCCTGTCGTCATTCTCATGTATGTTGTTACCTATTTTGCCTCACTGTACTGCTGAAAGGTGGATAGGTATAGATATAGGATATGTTTAGATTCCGTCTGATGTCTCTCTTTTTTGTGCTTATCCGATGGAGATTCTTATGATCCCATTCAGTGTGTAAAGTTGGTTGTTTCTTTGTGTTATTGACGACCTAGCTTTAGGCGCATCTTGCATCCAAAAGAGTATGTTAAGAGAGGGGAAATAAATTCCCTGTGATGTTGCTGTACATGCTACGTGATGATGGTTAGGATTACTTGTTTCCTTCCCCTTCTTTGATTTCCCAGAAGCACAATGATTCTCATGTTTCTAATTATCATTTTAGTATGGCTTTGCTGATGATAATTTCTCTTAGTTAGGCAGATAATTGTTTTTTAAAATATTTTTTTTATGTTTTTAAATTTATTTTTGATTGAATTTTAATAGGGCTAGTGAAATGCACTTCACCTGCTTTTGAAAGAAGTTATATTCAAGTGATGTTCTTTGCCTTCTATTGTAGTTTTGCTTTGAAAAACCTTCGATAATGGTTTTTGAAGTTCTTATATTGCCATTATTGTCAAATTAAATGAAATTACTATAATAATTATTTAACATAAATGTTTAACTTTTGTTTTTTTTTTTTTAATAAAAAGCTTAATGATAAACAGCACTAAGAATTTTCCCAAAACCCTTTTCTAAGAATTCCAACTAATGATTCAAAAAATGTGAAGTTGTTTGATAAATTACAATTGCAATTTAATATTTGAAATAAAATTAAGAAAAATTATGTTTTAGACTTCAAATTGAAAATTATCATAATTTAAAGAAACCACACTTGTACTTGTAAGAATTAATTAACAAGAAAAAAAAAAACTAAAAGAGATTAGCTTTTTATTGCAGTATTTCTATTTATCCTTTCACATTTCTTACTTGACCCTTAATGTTTATTTATTTAGGTTTGATCTTCAAGCTACGGTTATCCTAACACATTTTTCAATTTGGAATGGTAAAAGTTCTTTTTCATTATTGTTCTTGATTTTTTTTTTTCTCTTTTTAGATTGCATGTTTGCAGGTACCCGAGACGTCCGAACTTGTTATGTGATTTGATGACATGTCAATCTTGCATGGGAAAGTTTTAAATCATTTAAAAAAATTAAAAAAATAAAGATAAGATAACCGTTTAGTTCTTAATTTTGCTCAGGTCAATTTTTATTTTTTTATTTTAGTTTTTAAACTTTTTTTTTATACAATTGCATCCATTTTGGACCAAATTAAAATAAAATTGAACCAAATTTGTTGACAATGATAACATTAAAAAAAAAGGACCAAAGTAAAAAAAAAAAAACACCATAAAGGGATGGCAGTTTCAAAGTTATCACAAAAAATTATTTCAATCCTCAAACATTACAAATTATATCTACGTGGTCCTTTAATAGTTTTGCAATTTAGTTTTGATTCACAAATTTATTTTTTAATTTTTAATTCGAGAGGGTAGAGAAAGATCGTTGAATTTTAATAATAATAAAAAAAAATCAATACTAACTTTGATTTCAATCATCAAAATGATTGATTTTAATGATAAAAAGCTTCATTTAGTAACGGGAGTTCCACTTAAATGTTTTTATATCTTAAGATTTCCTAAAAAACTACATCTAAACTCAATAAATTTTTTTGTTTTAAGTTCATCTTGATTTTTTATGTAGTTTTTTTGGTTTTTTAAAGTCATCTATTGATTTATCAAGATGTTTAAGCTCTTTTCTATATGTTTTGGATAAAAACAAATAGGTGAAAAAATAAATTTTTGGATGAAAATACATAGATCATGTTTTTACAAATATCATAGTGGCTAGAATTTAGAAACTTATTGTTTGAAATTTTTCTTTTTATAAAATATTAAGATAGATGAAAATGAGTATTATCGGATCCTTTCTAATTGGGTCAAACATAGATTTTATATATATATCTGTTTAAAAAAATCATGTTTTTATACGTGTTTTGTTAAATAATTTTATAACTTATAATTAAATTAATACCTCCTCTCTAATTTCTTAATTTTTTATTTTTTGCCTTGTTTGAAATAGTGGTTTTTATTTTATTATATATATATATTTTTAATTTTTAAGAGATTATTCTAATTCATTTATATTTTTTTTATGTTTTACGTAATTGAAATTTATTTTAAAAAATAAAAAAATTATTTTCAGATAATATTTTTAAATTAATGACTTTTTATGGTTTTCTCTCTATTTTTTTAATTCATACTTAAATTAGTACATCTTCTCTCTTTCATTTTTTTTAGAGTTTTTTTAAATGAAAATTATTGTTTTAGTTATGCATTTAAATTTGAAATTTTTTTTTTGATTCATCTATATTTTTTTATTTTTATATAGATGAACTTTATTTTTGAATTTTTTTTCAAATAATAGTTCTAACATGTGCAGCTTTACATGACGTTGTTTCCTTTTATTTTATTTGATCAATTTAATTAATGACTCTATTTCTATTATTGTTTGCTTAAATATAAAATTATTTTAATAAATAAATTTAGTAAACAAATCTAAGTAAATATTCAATTTTTCAAAATTAAATATCTTAATATATATGTGTTTTTTTATTTTTAGATATTATTAATAACTTTTTATTTATTTATTCACACGTATAATTATTAATTGATTTAATTATATATACGTGGATAATATTTCTAATTTGAGTTTAAACCTTTTAAACTATCAAAATACATTAAAAGAAGTACAATTATTATTTTTTAAATAAAAATATCACGTAACTAGTTAGAAACTAAACTAAGCAGTCAAAGTATCCTACAAGATTTTTGGTCTTCTTCTTCTTCTTCTTTTTTTGGTGTAAAATACCCCTTACCTTACCTTTAATTTAAAAATTTCAAGGAACATCTTCAAATTGAATTAAATAAAGTCAAAGTTGAGGCCCAACGCAGCCTAGTGAACACCCCCACTTGCATACGTATATATCTGTACCCAAACTAACCATACATTTCTCTCTAACCTAAAATAGAGCCTCCGTCTTCCACCTCCGCACCAACCTCCGACGCAAGATGTCGCAACCGCAACCCTGGGCGCGGGCCCTTCAGCAATCAATAAAACCTGAACTCGTAACCATAGATGGCAGCTCCACAGAAACCACCTCAAAAATTCCCCAACCTCCTCACAAACTCGTCATTTTAGCCGACCTCAACGCCAACCCCCCTGAATCCGACACCACCGATTCCCTCCATTTGTCACCATCTGACCTCACGAAATTAAAAGACGAAGCACAGGATAACAAACCTAACTTAACATCCAAAGAAGCAGATAACAACACCACCGTAGAAGTTACTGAAAGTAAAAAATCAAGCAGTAAATTAGGTAAATCACGTTCGCGTAACAATAAATTAGACAACCCTCTCGATTACGGACCTGATAATGATAATGACCAGCCTAACCAAGGTCCTTCTTCCTATCGTGAAGAGAGAGTTAGCAGTCTCAAAACGGTGAGTTTCCTTTTTTTATTTTCATTTTATTTTTATTTAATGAATTGTTTGAATTTTGGTTAATTATTTTATTGGGTTTCTTTAGGGATTGTTACATGTTGCGAAGAAGATGCCGAAGAATGCACATGCGCATTTTATACTTGGATTAATGTACCAAAGATTAAGCCAGCCTCAAAAGGTTAGTTTTCGGAGCACAATTAATTCGTTTTGTTCTCTGATTGATTCGATTTGTTTCATGTCAGTTAACTTTGTTTTGTTTTTAGGCGATTTTGGCTTATGAGAAGGCTGAAGAGATATTGCTTCGTTGCGAGGCTGAGGTGGCTCGGCCAGATTTGCTTTCCTTGGTTCAAATTCACCACGCCCAGGTTTGGTTTATATTTTGCAGTGCATTTTGTTTTTTCTTGTTGTGTGAAATTGCTTCGTTAGTTCAAATTCACCGCGCGCAGGTTTTTGTTTATTTATTTATTATTTCGATAAAGTATGTGATGCGTATTATTGAATGCGTGTACTGTAGTGTATTTTGCTTGAAACTAGTGGCGATAATAGCTTGGAGAAGGAACTTGAAGGGCAAGAGCTTGAGGACGTTCTGTTTAAATTGAAGGAGTCGATGCAGTTGGATATTAGACAAGTAGCTGTTTGGAACACCCTAGGTTTGATACTTCTTAAATCTGGCCGTGTGCAGGTATTATCACTAATGATCTTTTTGTTGTTTGCAATGAGAGTTGATGTTTCGTGATCTTGGTATGCTGCATTGTTTCTTTTCAGAGTGCTGTTTCAGTTTTGTCTGCGTTGATGGCTGTTGATCCTAACAACTACGATTGCCTTGCAAACTTGGGGATTGCATTCCTGCAAAGGTAAGAAATTGCTGTTTATGCTCTTTTGGTTATCCACTCAACCTCGTTTGTCTTAGCATTGGCTACTGATAATAGATAAATGGCAGCATTGGTTCAATGATGAAGCCAAAGAACAAGGAATATTTTGAGAATATGCAGCAGTAATTTGAAATGGCTGGGACTAGAAATCATCGGTATCTTGATCTAATAGACCATAAAATGCAGCATATAATTTATATAAATTAGATGAATATCATCCAGCAAGGTATCTTTAGCCGTGAGTATAAAATATCTGCTGTTTATGATCATTTCTGAGCAATCTTGACCACTTTATCTCAGTTTTGTCGAGAGGATTCAAAGCACATTTATTTCCTTTGAAAGCTTTTTGAAGGTTCTGAAATGTACTTATAGCATGGCATTTTTTTCAATCTTACCTCAGTTATTATAGGTATCACTAAGTTGCTTTCTGCAAAGGATGGTTGACAGAATTTTGAAACTTCTACATTTATCTCTTATGTGAGCGATGATGAGGAACGAGCATCCTAAAATTCTCTTCTTAGTTTTAGTTATCTTCATTTGCTTTACAATGGTGTTGAAATCAATTAATTTGCTTCGGTACTATTGGGATCACTCATTGAATGCACTTTCTGGTTGCTCTAATATCATCACTTGATTTATTGAGATGTACAATTGAACACCTATACTATGGTTATGGTCTCAGTAAGATATTTTCCCTGGATCTTTCTCATTCGTGGATTTGCTTGCAGTGGAAATTTGGAACTATCAGCAAAATGTTTTCAAGATTTGATCCTTAAAGATCAAAACCATCCTTCGTCCCTTGTGAACTATGCTGCCATTCTTCTCTCTAAATATGGTTCGGTTGTTGCAGGTATATTTCAATCGATTTTTAGCTTCATGTATCTTGACCTTTGTTGACTTTTTATGTTAATTTCTTGCTTTGAATATTAAGATGTCGTGA